TTTGGGTATGTTTGTTTGTATTTCCGTGTAGCAATTTTAGGTACTTAATTAGATCATAGCATTAATATGATCGATAATATTATTGGAACCTTCACATAACTAAACTAGAGCTTTACAAAATAAATCTTATATATTAAAATAATTCGGTTTTCTGTATATCACCATCACCACCATCATCATCCTCCCCATCGTCATGAGTTACCACCGCGGCAGCACCATATCAATTTCAAGTGGCAGTCACAACTTACTTGAAATTACTAATTTATTCAAATACACAAACTTTTATCATTTGGGACCCAAATAGTTCTCTAACTTTTGTGTTTCTAGTGAAATATAAAAAGGTATACATCATTTTAAATATTACTAATGAAGGCAAAAAAATATTCTTAGAATTCTTAATAATATTCTCCAGGCACAGAACCCAACAATTATGCCTTTTCCCCCTCCTAAGATCAAACATATCATAAAGGTGTTTCCCTTAACCTCCAGCTCACTTGAGTGCTCAGGCATAAGACAGGGTGAAGAAACAGACAACTCACGTACTCTTTTAAAAAAATGACATTATCCATCAGTTCACGGGAAGAGTTGAAACTATAAAATAAAACTATCCTTTGACTTTGCCAAATTCCTCTTGGTGGAATTCCTTACAGACCTTCACTTCGGTTGGTGTGGATTTTGTGGATTTATCTAGCATCGATGTGGAGGTATGCATTTTGATTCCAAATAAGTATAGCTATTCTATGTTTTCCTTTCCTGGGTGGGTGAACCGAAACTTAACATTAAAATGAATGGGTCATTCATGTCTTGTTCTTCGTTCAAAATCCCCTGGAGGAAGGTGGGGAGAAGCAGTCCGCACACTGCCCTTTCAACTGGGTTCTTCTAAAGTTACATTAAAAATAATACTGATGTCACAGGGAGGAGGGCAATGGATTCACCTTGTGTCTTGTATGCAGTTGATAAAACTATGATTCAAATCCATATATTTCCTCATACAGAAACACTTTCACATAATCACTCAGGCTTTAGATATTCTAACAGTGCATTTATAACACAAATATTCCTTATGATAAACAGGCTGCAAACAAATGTTGCAGGTGGTAAAAAAAATTTTTTTTTACCAAGATTCGCCTTACAGCGAAGATGTTACCTAACATTTTCTATTTGCAGTGAAATTCCTAACTGCTCAAATCTAGTCTCCCCTCCTGCTCTTTAATATGCAAATGGACTCAGACAAATATTAGTATGTAGGCAAAGCAATAAAGCACCTAACACTCATGTGGCTTATGTGTGACTTTCACATGTAGTCCCATGTCACCAAAGTACTGGTTTTTCATCACTCATGGGAAGTTTGACACCTTTCACGGGTTCCCCCACTGCCCACTGCCCCTGCCTTTGGAAATTCTTGTCTGTCTTCTGTATTCTAGAAAGTATAAGAAACCAAAATGCTCAACCTGAATTTTCTCAAATTAAGAGTGTCATAGCCTTGAATATATTCAGAAAAAGTAAATAAACAATTATGATCCGGGGCCCAAACTAACAGAGTATGAGAAAGAAGATTAGAATAGGTGGCAGGTCCTCCTGAGAGCTCTGGAAGGCAGGTAGGAACAAGCCATGTGGTAGGGGGTAGGGGGAAAGGGAAAAGAACTTGGAGATGTGATTCCATTTACATCTGAACAGACACTCATTCCCGAGCAATGTGTGGCTTCTTGGACTATTCTTAGCCCAGAACAAAGTGTCAGGTAGTCGGCCACAATTCAAATGACTGAAAAATGTAAGAATCAGAAGAAAAGAGTGGACAGTTCATTCAAGTAAAGGGAAGAATTTTGAAAACCTGAACATTAGTCACTCAACTCTCTCCCCAGGGCTTCTGTTCAAAGTTGAGAAACAGTCTTACATGATCACAGACAAACCAGCTACCCAAAATACGCAGATATCCAAATATATAAATTGTTAGGGAACTGACTCATTTGGAAGGCTGGCACACTCATTTGTTGTTGTTGTTGTTGTTGTTGTTGTTGTTGTTGTTGAACACTGGGCAAAGTGCAGCCCTTAGAAATACTGACTAATAAAACAAAAATGTTCAGGCAACATCAAATACCTACTCTGAATTTTTTAAAGTATGGTCAATGTCATCATTTCATCGTTAGCTTTGTTTGAAAATCTCTAAATCATTTGAAAACTAAAGAGGAATTCTGGATAAAATTATTTTCATGACATTTTAGGTATGATACAACCCACAAAATCACATCTTGCTCATTAACACCTGTGTTATGTCTTAACCAAAAAGTTATTGTAACGCATGACAGTGTTTCTCACTTTATTACATGCTCCTGGCATTTTTACATGCTCCTTCTCCTTGTACATAAATGTGGCTGTACATTGTGGCCAATGGAAGAAAGTAGCCACAACATCATGATGCTCAATAATGTGACCATTACACAAATTCTCCGAACATCCTGGTGTCACAGTGAAACATTCAATGGAGAATTCACACAGCAGCCCCATTCTATCATCAGAAACAATAAAGCTTGGTCTAACTGATCTAGAGGCATCAGCCCAATGTACAAGGGCCAAATAAAATGAAGATGGATAACTTAGTTTTTTAGTTCGTGTAGATAAAAAACCATGGCCATTTGCCTGGATTTTGTTTTTTCCTGAACAAATTTTAGGTCCGTGTCTTCCAAACTTCTTTAACTTCAACCTGCAGTAAGAAATATATCTTACATCACTGCCAGAACCCAGAGGCACAGAAAGGTAAAACAACTTTTCAGGAAAGAAAACCTGCCCTTACTACAAAGCATGCATTCTAATACTTTCTATTCTTTTTAGTTTTATCCCATTAAAAACACCAAGACTCACTAAACCAATTTCATCATCAATTGGATCATGAGAAACATTTTTTTAAATACATGTTTAACCCCAAAACTTTTGAGAGCTACTGAAGAAAAATAAAGTTTTTTCTAAAGAGCCTATTCTTTGTTGCCCAGATTTATTCAAATAGGAAAACTCAGAAAAAATATTTTTCTAAAAAAAAACCTATCCCTTTCTTCCTGAGTAATAAGAGGCAGAATTCAAACGAAATAGCAAAGGTGTTAGAGAAAATACGCCATCGTTCTAAAACTCCATTTCCACCTAGAACTCCACTTGTGCATTTTTTTTACTTTACTTTGAAAAGTTCCTTGTCATTTTGTATTATTTCATTAAGTATCTGGACATCATTTAGAGCAAAGAGTTTCTATTAGGGTGAGATTCTTTGCCACTGGAATGATGAATGATGTTGAATAAAATACGATCCCCTCTGTATTTGCCCATGTTCACGTTGTAATTATTAGCAAGGCAGTAAATAACTGGCCAAGGAGCAGCCTCATTAGTGCCCATTGAAATTCAGTGGCATTAATTTGCAGTAAAAGAACTGAAAATTAAGTGGAAAAGAAAATACTTTGGGGGCTCCACCATAAGGTTATGGAATTTACATTCTACCAAAGCCTTCCTTCACATCAAGGAATTTTAAATATTGTGTGAATTAGACTTATTCGCTATATTTTGTTCTTCCAGCAGAAAACAATCTATCTGGAGAAGAAATTTTCTCTTTCAGTTTAACCCTGAATTAAAGCAAATAAAATTAATTAGAGTCTACCATCTTTTTAAAAGTTCTGTTCACAGTTTATCTTGAAAGTAATAACTGGACCTGGACCCCCATTGTTGGGTGATGCTCTAGAGTTCCCCGGGGGAGGGGGGGCTTAAGGTGTATGCTTAAGAGTCCACCCTGCATTGTAGCCTGGGGTCAATCTGTTACTTAGCCCTGTTTCTTCTGCTCTAGAAATCTTTGGAAATACAACAGTGGACAAGAAACCGTCCAAGGCTTGCAATACAAGTCTGGGGAAGACCAAGAGCCGGCAACAGCGGGTTAGCTCTGATTCAGCAGCATGTGGGCCCCCAGGCCTTGGTACCTGGCCCAGGTATCGCTATCTTCTAGGTACCTCTAGCAGGTGTTTACCTGACCCATGCACCTAACCCTTCTGCAGGTCCCTCGGAAAACAAGGGGGAAATGAGAGGAAAGGGAAGGCAAAAATGAACACCCTGTCTCAGGGGAAACTAAAACTGACAACCTAAAACAGTTGTCTCTTAAGTCACGAAGAGTGGTCTATGTCCTGGGTGTCCCTGTGTCCTGGACTGCCCTCTCTCCTTGCACAGTGCCTGCGGGGTAGGCAGTAGCTGACCTGTGCGCCACTCCAGAGAGTTCTTTCCCTGCTAGGCCAGGTACCTTAGCTGCAGGAGATTACTGTGAAACACTGATGCTTCGATGTGGCGTGTTTTAAACACGAGGAACACCTATAAATTTCAGCTGTCAGAAGTCGCAAGCAATCTGCTCTAATGAGAACTCAGCCAGAAATCAAAACTTGTTGAGACCCATTCAACTCTGGTACCGGCTCTTCTGAGAAGCCACCTTATCCAGAGCCCAGGGATGAGGAAGGGAGGGAAAGGGGATGACAGGTACCGCTACCCAAACCACATCCTCACCGGCATAGCTTGGATACTGTCAATCCCAAACTCTGAATGAAAGGAAACTACGCCAACACATGAAAACAAGAATTTCCAAATAATGATCAATAAATCTCTCCTGAGCTCCGCTAAAACCACCTTTAAATAAGAAAGGGAGACCCTTGCTAGTGGTACAAAGTGCCTCAGGTTTATTAGCTTTGGGGAGCCCCCCCCAAAAAACTGCTCCTTCAGATAGTTTTTCAATACTTGTGTAGTTAGGAAACAGGAGCTTTCGGCTCTGTAGCTCCCGCAGACTGCTGGGGAAGGAGAACATTTTTGTTGTTACATTATTTCTATTATTATTATTATCATTATTACTATTCCACTGGTACCACTGGAGAGAAGGCGGACTGGGCAAAGAATCCCGGGCTCTGCCGGGGCTTTTCTGGGGTGCGGGTGGCCTGCATCCCCGGCCCCGCGGTCCCCTCGCGCACTCCCTCCCCCCGGGCCGCGGGTACCTGTAGAACGCAGGCGGACCCGCATCACGCACAGAGTAGCCGCTGGGCTCATTCTCCAGGTAGTAGGGCACCTGCTGGCCGTGCGGGTGCAGGAAGGGCGACAGCTGCGGCGGCGGGTGCAGCAGCATCAGCGGGTTGGGCGACACGCTGTTGAGCTGGGGGAAGCCCCCCAGGCTATTGGCACTGAACGCCGCAGCCTCGGACCCAGGGCCGTAGGTGAGGCCCGGCTGGCCGTAGACCGGCGCGGAGGCGGCAGCTGCGTTGAAGTCGTAGGCTGCGCCCTCAGGGTAGTTGAACACCGCGGGCTTGCTGCTGTCCACGTACACCTCGCCCATGGCCCGCTCCAGGGGCATCTTGAGCTGCTGGCGGCTGAGGGACTCCAGCTCTTTGCCTTGGATCTGATGGAGCAAGGCCATTCCCGAGGCTTTGGCGTGAAGGGTCATGGTCAGGACCAGTGGCCGCGGGCAAGGTGCAGGCTGTCTCCCCGCGCCACCAAGGACTCAGCAGCCGAGGGGCCACCTGGAAAAAGAGCACAGCCCGCGGTTAGAGGCGGCGCAGCGCTAGTCCCAGCGCTACGAGGGCCCTGGCCCTGGCCCTGCCCCTGCCCCCCGGGCCGAGAGATCCTGATGAGCCTGGTGGCCCGACTCCAGCCAGGGCTGCACCGGCGAGCGCGCTCCAGCACTCTGGGTTCTCCAACTTTAAGTACGGTCGCCTGCTCGTAAGCATTGCAAAGGTGCTGGAAGCCGGCCAGGGGCTGTTGCCTGGAACTGACATGGCTTTAAACATGACTCGGGACACCCAAGAGCCCGATTCTCTGAACTTAACTTTCCTGGTCGTTGCTGGATACCACTCAATGGGTCGCGGGGGGGGGGGTGCCCAGGAAAGACTCGGTTTGAAACAACTGCGCCAGACAAAGGCAGGGGCCAGCTATTTTTCTGAAGTGCTGTCCTCGTACCGGTGCCAGGCTCCAATCTATCTCTGTTTGTCTCACTTTCTGTTTGGTCCAGGCTTCTTGCTGGCCGGAAATATGTACTGGGTACATAAAATGACCCTGGGGAAGACTGCTCTGTAACTGAGATACGGCAGATAGAATGGGGTGTGCGGGTGCGTACACAGCCAGCCACAGACCGCTATATTTAGCAGTGGCAGGCACTGATAGTAGGCGTGGAGGGAAGGGGGGACGTGCAAGGTGCAGGTATAGGAATTGCTGCACCTCGCGTCAGGACAAAGTAGGACTTCAGCCTTCTCGGCTGTGAAGAAACGCTCCCAAAGCTCTCCCTTCCAGCCAAGCGTTCGCAGATGCTCCCAGCCTGACTTCTCTGTTTAGGTTGGACCCGGATACCTTCCTTGCTCTCTTTAGAAATTCTCAAGCAAATGATGATTCAGAAAAACCTTTGGTTAGGCACACATGGGTATCCGTGCCTGCCACAGGTTATGCAACCAAAACTTGAAAAAACTGAGTCTGAAATGCGACCTTTTCCTATAAAACAATCTCAGGTCCTCAACCAAAGCTCTGTCAACTAGGTTACCCTGTCTGTCTGACCAGCAACTTTTAAAAAGTAATTTCTGTCTTTCAGCTCTTGAATTCTACAACTGGACCCTCTGGGTTCACTTGGACTAAGATACACAGACTCAAATATCTGAATGACAAAGAAGTAGAAAAAAGTTTTTAACTCAAATTAAAATCTAATTGCACATGTACACCCCAGTTAATAAAAGATTTGCAATTATATCATCATGCAGAAGTTTGGATAGTTTCTACTTTTTAAAAAACTTTCTTTGCCCCAGCTTAATATCCTGTAATACAGTCATTAATACTCCAAAGAGTACCTGACACATAGAAATGTCAAGGTCACTGTTAATAATGGTGACATTTAAACAGTATTTTCTACTAAGCACACATTTTATCTGATTCTTAGAAAAACAGACCATCCTGGGTGATCTGACCATAAGCTGATTTAAATATGAAGCTAAAATTGAGTTTAGCCTCAATAACTACAGAACACAGCAACAACAGGGTTAAAAACACATTAGGCGAATCGCAGATCTTTCTTTTTATGGCCAGCAACCATTACTTTCCAGTGCAAATTTTTCACGGATGATTTAGTTTCCACAAATCACACTTTCAATTTTCAAATGCCTTTTTAAAACACATGCAAAATCACTTCATGGGGCTCTTTAAAAATCTGAGGCTGCCAAATTATATATAAATGGCACAAAGAATCTTACAAGTCCTGAAAGGAAAAAAACAAGCCCCGTGGAAAAATAGCAGCACCTCCGTATTCCGGCTAGGATACAGACACTGGCCAGAAAGGTAACTTGCTTTCTCAAAATACTCAAGCTACAGAGAGAGAAATCAAAAATGATCCTACCCTGCTGGTTCAAGAGGGTCTTTACAGAAATATCCCATGGATTTGCAGAAGTCAAAGGCCGAGACTGGGAGAAGGAAGCAAGGAATGTTATCGCATGTTCCAGTGGCTCCCTGTGTGGTCGAGGCAGAGCGTGTGTGGATGTGTTTGTGTGTGGAGTGGCAGGGATTCTCAGGAAGCAGCCAGTAGGCAGAGCACTTGGCAGCCCCTCCCGGCAGACACGGCAGCTGGGCTTCTGCACAGCGCTGGATGAATGGCAGCCAGAGTGAGGGGAGACCTGCTGTCTGCTGAGGGGCAGCCGGGGAACGGCTGGAGTCAGTGCTCCTGGAAGAGGAAACTCCAGCCCCCTTTGGCCCCTACCTGTGGAGCCTGGAGAAGTGAACCATGTTTTCTGCTCCTGAAAGGGAAACGGGGTGGCTGTAAATCACAGGCTTATGGCGAAAATAGAATGCCAGTCAAAAGTGTGTGGAGATCAAGTTTACGAAATATGCCAGGGGTAGTTTTTCCTAAGGAATATAATTTAACAAGAACAGTCTTCTGGGATACTGGACTCAAATGCCCCGCTGGCCCCAAACCCCCTGTGGCTCTGAAAAGACGTATGACGGCCATGCCACCAGGGGCACATGGAAGTCAGATTTTGGAATAAATGTTTTGGCATTCCAGAGATATGTTTCCAACTGAAATGTAATATTCCTTCACCTTACTAGCCAAACCCACGAGCCTTTCCACCAATAACTCATTGACTACTGTCTGTAAACATATGAAAAAAATATTATTCTAATCTTCAAGTAGGAAGATGAGGGATCTTTGTTTTAAACTGACTATAAGTTCGAAGTTGTACTGGCACCAACCATGGGCAGAGGTCTCTCACTAGTGGTACTTGCATTTGTCCACCTTATCCTCAACTTTTCTATGGACTATGGTACCACATACAGTAATAAGGTGCTTGGAGTGTGCCCTACCCTGGGTCCCAGGGCACAGGACACTTAGTGAAGCCTTTGTGCCAGACATCAGTCAGCACCTTGGGTATTAAGTGACTTTAATCACAATGCCAGGAGTGGCCAGTCTCTGGCCCTAGGACCCTAGGTAGTTACCTAGAGATTTATGAGTGGCACTTGAAGCCAGTATAAAGAAAGAACTAAAGAGAGAAATGTTAACGATAAACTACAAATATATGCATTTGTACTTTGGAAGACCCAAGGTCATATACTATGAGAACACAGACAAGTCCCGTCTGCAGTCAGCAATGGCCATATTTAATATGAATAAATATTTAGAAGTGGGGATATGAGTGGACAGTAGAGTACTTGCCTAGCATGCAGGAGACCCTGGGCTTGAGCTACAGCACTGCAAAGAAAGAAAGAAAGAAAGAAAGAAAGAAAGAAAGAAAGAAAGAAAGAAAGAAAGAAAGAAAGAAAGGAAAGAAAGAAAGAAAGAAAAAGAAAGAAAGGAAGGAAGGAAGGAAGGAAGGTTTAAAAGAAAAATCACTAATTCGTTATTGGTAATAGTGTTGAATTCTGGGACAATATTTCCTTCTGTAGGTCAACCATGGCCACACATTCATCAGGCAAGTCCAAAAGTATAGAAGAAAGGAGGGAGAGAGATTAGTGAAAAAGAGAGAAGAGGAAAGTGGGAGTAAAGAGAAAAGGGGAACCTGAAATGTTCACCTTCTGCATAGGAAGGGGAAGAAGGCTAGCCATCATCTCAGAAACTTTGATTATGGAGAGACGTACAATCCCAAATGACCCAAGAAAGGTATTTCCAGGACTGGTTTTCAAACTCTCCTTGGTAAGCTCTACCTCCCAGCCCCGGTGGTTGTGGTTGGAAAAGCATGGTGTACCATATGGGTTTTCCTCCTTACTCTACCCACAGCTTCTCCTTAGACTCCCGGTTCTCTCTTCCTCCCTCTTAAAAGACTTTCATGCTGAGCATACCATACCCCTGTCCTGGCTTCCTGGCATGCCTGGGTGAAGAAGAATGAGCAAGGTCCTTTGGTTCCGCAGCTCAGTCACTCTTCAGATCACATTTCCAGCCATCTCCTGCTCCCTCTGACTAGTTCAAGCATGCATTTTCTCTCCTTCAATGTGATGGACCCTCACCACATCCTTGCACATCACATCACTGTCCCTGGATTCTCTAGGTCCTGACTCTCCCTTGACTTCCACAGTTGACCAAGAAGCAATTCCTGAGCCTGTGGCTTTGCCATCTCTCCCTTCATTACATTCCCACAATGCTTTTTCATCCACCATGACCTCACTTGCCTTAGGAGCCTCTCGAGCACCCTCTGCCTCTTTCCTCATCCACTTCCTGCCAGATTCTTTTCAGGCTTTTCACTGCTGCAAGCCCCACCTGGTTACAACTCAGCTCCATCGTTATCTCAAATTCCAGCTTTCCTGGGAGTTGAGACCTTCCTCTCTCCCAGACCTAGGCACTCTATCACCTTTAACGTGCATTGCCTATGACTTAACCAAATGAAAACTGGATGCTCCAAGGACCTCAGAGCTTTTCCTATTTTCTGCTTGGAGCATTCCTTGCTTGGCAAGTAAAGCATCTTCTTCCCTGAGGCGCAGTCCAAGCATCACCACATTCTCACCGTCTTCCTTTATTTCCTGCTCAAAGAAAACTTTCTTCTCTGAATTCCAGATGTAGTTCTTACACCCTTATCCCGTTCTTCCTTGAATGGGAGTTATTTTTATATATTTTTATCACCTCATTCCATTGAGGAGCAACTTAAGCACAAGGTCTGACTCTGGGTATTTGAGTGCCTAAGCATGGTATCTAGTCTTTGCTGGGTCACAGATATGGGCTAATTTCTTGATCTAGATACTTGAAAGGATTAAACAACATCCCATCTGTCTGGATAGCCATCTCTAAAAGCTAACGTTCCATGTAACCATCTCCCAAAACTGTTTTTTGCTAGGATGCTATCTTCATATCTTCATGGTGACTATGGCCATAAAGTCAAAATTCAAATTTGTCTAATCCAGAGGCATAAGCCTGCAATTCTTGACAGCATGATTCACCAGAGAGCTCTGCATTTTAGTGCTTAACCAGACAATACGGGGACCAAACAGGGCTTCTTCTCTAGCTCCATTAAAGGCGTTTTACATTTACAAAAACATTATTCTTCCAAAAGAAACATGAAAGAAAATAAAGGGAGAAGTATCTGCAGGATAGCTTGTGCCACCAGACGTGGCTTCGTGCTGTGAGATGAGATGGTTTAGCTCTGTTCAAATCGAACAGTATGCTGTTTTTAAATGCATGTGTGTGTGTGTGTGTGTGTGTGTGTGTGTGTGTGTGTGTGTGCTTGTGTGTGTGGTTTCTTTTCTTCCCTTTTTCCCTTCATTTCCTCTCTTTTTTCTTTTCATTCATTCTTCTTTCTTTTTAGATAGGGTCTAAAGCCCAGACTGTTCTAAAACTCATTATGTAGACTGGGAGAGCCTCACACTTGTGACAATCCGCTGCCTCAGCCTCCAGGAGTGCTGGGACTACAGCCCTGAGACACCATGCCTGGCCAGGGGTTTGGTCTTCAGTGTTTATTTGATACCATCTGTTTTCTTCTAAAGTAGAATAAGAAGTTTCCTCTTAAGACTCTCCTCATTTTAAAGATGGTTTGATGGCTGATTTTTTAAAAATAAATAATTTATTGAGAATTTCATACATGCATATAAGGTGTTTTGATCAAATCCATGCCCACTCCCTCCCCTTCTTCTTGTTTATTTTTTATGGGGCTTTTGGCTACTCTAACATTCCCCCCTCTGAAGAGGTAACCCTAAAATCTTTTAAGGATTAGGTAAAAGCTCCCAAATATTTTTAACATTTTTGGCCTTTGGAATGGAGTATGTTTCTAAGAAGCCCAAGGACATTGTGAGTTTTAACCAAGAAACTGGCTACTTTTCTTTGGGGTCTTTTTACCCTGTCTAACCAATTCTACCTCCTATTCTTATCACACCATCCTCTGAAGGGGTTACCCAAATTGCCAATAGGGAATCGGGACCCAGACCGCTCTGCCTTCTTCCATGCTGAACAGGGGAGCAGGGTGAGGCAGCTGGGGTACTCCTTCAGTGGGCCTATCTAAAAGACTCCCAAATTGCATAACTCTTATCTCTAGGGGAAAAGAAAGTCCTTGAATTGTGAATAGGAGATGTGAAGGAGAAGTAAAGGCAAGAGTAATTAGCATTACAAGTTCCAGACAGGGAACTAGAAAAAAGAACAGCAATTTTCAAATGTTGATCACTGATTTTTTTAAAATTAGCTCCTAAGTTTTGCTCCTCTAACCTTGGAATTTTTGTTCTTGAGACAAAATTTATATACAGTTGAATACACCCATCTCAATTATACAGCTTGACAAACATGGGCAGATTTTCCATAACAATCATGCCAAGCAAAGCATAGAGTATGTCAATAATCCAATAAAGTGCCTTCATACCTATTCTAATCAATCCTCCACTCTACAGAAGGATTTGCTTCCATAGATGTTTTTAACTATCTGGCCCAGGTGATTGCTTACAAATTGGAGTATAAATATCCCATTTCCAAATAATAGTATGACCATCCCTATCTTGGGCTTGCAGCTTCCCCTGAATCAAGGACAACTTGATCCCGGTTACCCCATCCCAGGCAGCAGATTCTGACTGAGGGAAGACTCCTACAGAGCTGCCCTTCCCTCAGTCAGAGTCTGCTGCCTGGGATGGGGTCCCTGGGAGCCCCAGAATTTTACACTTAAATTCAGATAGGCTTCTCTAATATTAAAGAGACTTTACACATGCACATGCAGAGAGAGAGAGAGAGAGAGAGAGAGAGAGAGAGAGAGGAGAGAGAGAGAGAGACCACATAATCTACCAAGAATCACCCCCAACTTCAGAGCCAAGTCTATCAAATAGTAAAAAGAAAAATCGAAGGTGATAAAGCCTCTGAGTTTTGAGCCTCTGTCTGAGCCTTTCTTTCTTTTTAGTCACAGCTGTGGTTCCCTCCCACACTTCCTAAGTACCAAAGACCCTCATGCTAGCAAATGCCCCTGTCTTCCACCCCCTGAATTGCAATCATACTGTGCTGATGGAGTTGTACATCTGTAATCATGCCGATGAATGACTCATTCACTCAATTCACTGAAAAAATATTGATTACTATATTTACCAAG